CTCTTTAACTTATACCTCGCTCAATCGTGGCACCACACTCTAACTTACGATCTCTCACTCCTTTCATCTCTTTTCTACACTCTTGGCGCCTATACTTTTCAGAAGATACAAAGCACTCCACATCTCTTAGCGAAATTTCCTCTTGTTCTTTGACACCCTGACACAACCCTGTTGCCTTTCGGAACTCACAGACAGACCTATTGCGCCAAAGACATCGCAAATTAAACAATAACGTCACTGCTTAAACACTCTCTCTCGTAGCTCACCCCCGCCCCCCAGAACGAAGTGAAAGCTATACTGACAGATTAAACACATCTCTTCTGAAATCATCGGCAACGGCGCTCAACACCGCAAACTCAGCACTGCTTTAATCTCATGCGGCTTACATAACATCTAAGGAGCCCCGTTTTGAGTAACCCATCGTCTGGCATTTGCGCAGGCAATGTGGTATGAATCCTATGTGCACTCAACTCGTGCAACTCTCACTCGTGCAAATTTCAGACCTCTAGTCTTTTCTTTTTCGCTTTTGATCTCGCGCGGCAACGTCACGGAAACACTCTCAACTCTCAACCCGGCACTAATACCACTCTCAAGCGCATAATAACCTCAGCAAAGTCCTTTGTACCCATCGCCATTCTCCCACTTGTTTTCGCAGCGATGTTTCTCCTCTTTTCCGGTTTCCATCAACAAAAATTTAAAAATTGAGCAAGAATGTACGCAAACTTCCGACCACAAAGAAAGTCTCTATCGTCTACTTCCTTAGATTTTCCAGGAGCGCTTTCACTTGTCCGCCCGATGTGCCCAAGAGAACGATTTATGTTGATTTTTTCGACATATAGATTGTCCAGCGCCACGTAATCAGGCGCTTCATGGCGAGCACACAAGCTCAGCCCCCCCCCCGCACCACTATCTCACAGACACCTGAATATTGAAAACCATGAACACATATCTCAGTCTCGATAATCACTTAACATTGATCTATTTCAGGTTTGGCTATACCATGTAGACACTCCCTCCCACCCCCACCATCACGGTTAATTTTTTAAAAATCATCTTACACTCTTGCAAAAATAACTCACCCTACCCCTCCGTCTTTTTCACGCAAAACATCACTCTTATGCAGTTATTCACAAATACTCAGACAACGTAATGTGCAATTATCGCTTCTCTTCCTAATTACTACGGGCCATTCACTCGTAATGTAAGCCGGACCCTCGTTTTTCTGATATTCTCTGAAACAGTTTCAAGAAAACATTGCAGAAACGCCTACACAACAATTTTTTAATAACCTGGCAACACGTCAGCGTTTCCTGAGCTTCTCTCTTATCGCCATCTGTACAGACCACGGTCATACGTTCCATTTTTATTCAAGGTGAAATAATCCCCGCAGCACTATGGAGGAACCTCCCAATTTCAACAAATACGCAGAATCCGCACCCACATGTCATCTATTCATCTAAGTAAGCAATGTAAAACCCCCTTTCTTCCAACATTGGCTCTACACTTCAATTATTCCACACGCCCACAATTTGAAAATCTACCGACTCACCTTACTACTGAACCGCTCTGTCAATACATAAACACTGATTCATGTCTACCCTTTTCATCACACAACATACTCCTTTATGAACCACTCTTTAGAAATTTTGAATAAAGCTTTTTTCTATTATATCTTTACGTAAAATGGAAGTCGCACGCCTACTCTCAATGCGCGCACTAAAATTAATCTTTGTCAGCTGGCACGCAGATTTTACTCCACCCAGCTTCACATGAAAAAGGGCAAAAATAAATATTCTTCGGCACGTTAGAAGCACTACGCCCCCCTTCTCTCTCAAAATCACATATATCGTTCACATCTCTCTTTACAACCAATCTACCACACAATCGTTGTAATTGCCCGAAACCAAAGGGGCCCGTACTAACTTCGTAAACTCCACTCCCCGTGCTTTCCGCAAGATACAAATTTCAGAATCGCAATTATCACATTTGGCAAAATTCTGGGGCAGGGCAGCGCAACTCCCTTCTTATCATCGACCGCTAACAAGCCTACATCCCACGGCACACAAGCTCACACTCACACCGACTAATACCCGGCAATACGCAAAACTAGTAGGCCCCCACAGTAATCTGTCGAACCCACTCTCACACACTCGTCTCTCCACATTAATCCGTTCGCCAACCCCACTCCCTTCAATTTCCCGCCGTACACTTTTCCACATTATCCGCATGTTTTTGTTTAATGTAAACCGCGCTTGAACTCTAACGAATCTCTCACCTCGCTCGCTCACACGCACAGTATGTAATATTAAACCTCGGCATCTCTGCACGCTCTAAAAACTGTGTAGAAACTTGGCGCCCCCATTCGCAGCCTTGGCGGTTTAAAAGAATATAAACGGGTTCAATGGGCTACTCCGGTCCATCCTTGTAACCTATCGCTACTCCGCACTCACTCGCTCACATCCCCCTCAAACTACTTGCACCACCTCTTCGCACATTGAATATGCTTATTTCTACCGTGGCAGAGACTGCGGGCCAATCAGGCCGCCTCTTACCGCTCTCGCACACCCCCACCCGCCCCCCCCTCGCAAACACTCTTCGCCTACGCACTCCTTTCCATAATACGCCCCCAGCACGACACACCAGACAGGTATCTTCTTCGGCCGACAAACAGCGCCGATCTCTGAATTAACGCCCTCCAGACGCGCGTCCATTTAGGCTTGACCCCTGGATCTTTACATCGCCGCAAGCTAATGCTACGAACATGGGACACCACCCCGCCGGCTTTACTCTCCTCCGAAGGAAAGCGCCGTCATGACAGGACTTTCGTACGCTTCAAAACTCACACCGCGCTTCGATCGCGCCGCTCTCGCACCACCCGCCCAAGCCAACTTGGGCTACAAACAGTCCCACGCACCCTACACAACCCACTTTTTCTCCTTGTTACAACCCGACCCCCCGGCGCCGCTAAATACCTCACCACACACAACAACATCTTCAGTATAATAAATTAAATCCCAAACACATAAAATTCCAACTACAACACTCCTCTCACCTCAACTTATGACTCTTTGAAATCACATCGCAATTCTTCTCAAAAAAAAATCCAATTAAATACTTGTGCTTGCGTGTGTGCAAAATCAACTAATAGCACCTGTGGAGACCAACACTCTGATTCTACTTAATTAATCCTTCACGCAGGCACTGGAAAAGAGCTTTTCATCACTCCCAATGTAAAATTTCTCGGCGAAATTTTTTTTTATCGTGTTTCATTACTTGTGAACGTAATTTCCTATACCCTGTCACCCCAGCCTCGCTTCTACATCATTACCTTGCATTCAGTGGGCATCGTTACCCGACACAATTACGCATTCTCCTGGTACTTCTCCTCGCTACTCACTTCCGCTCACATTTTACTTCTGACGGTAATCCCGACCCGTTCCGCTGGTCCCCAATCGACGCCGAATCGTGCAACTGCGGTAGCAAATTCCGACGGGCAACGCGCGGGTGAAGGAATAAGAAGAGAGAACAGCTGAAAGAAGCGGATGCATTCACAAAGGGTCAGCTTGGTGGCTGGTGTCTGTGGAGTGTTTGTGGGGAGAGGAGAGAGGGAAGCTAATCCCACACCGAGGCAGATTGAGTAGCCCCTCCAAGAGATGGGGCAGCTGGAGCGGTCAGGACAGGGAGGACAAACGGAGAAAAATGGGGTGCAACAGAACTGGACGGGAGTGTAATGAAGATGTGTTGGCAATACAAATGAAAAGTGAATTATGTGAACCACAATATCGACGAATTTTGGGACGGAATAGAGAGCGAATTTGACGGATCTATATAGCCCGATGCAGCGTATTCGAAATGAAAATACCACTTCGTAGATGGACAACACCCTACCCGACAGAAATGTAAACTCAACAGATGAGAAGGATTAAAAGGTTGAGGTTATTAGTTTGGCGATTGTTGATACCAGGGTCAATAAAGCTGCTCTGCCTGAAAAAAACACCGAGAAGAGGGCATTAACTCATGTCATTGATCAATAATTACTTTAATGCACAAAGGTAAACGTAGACAAATCACGAATCCTCGCGTACATAGGTAATCTAAAGAATATCCTTTCCCAAATTATGTCTAGAAGGTAAATAGCAGAACATTGCGTTCCAGTATTCACTAATTTAATGAGAAATGAATTAGAGACAACATAAACGACTTAAATGTTGTTGTTTTTCTCCTTCCCTTCCTTAATATTTATATTATCCCATTTAGGTTCATAGATTAACTTAAAGGTCAACCTTCATAGAATAAAATATCGCAGAAATAATTTTCTCCATTACATCGCTTTCATTCAGTTGTAAATGGAACCACAGAAGTTTTTGTTTCATTGTTACTCATTTGTGTCGGGGAAAATATCTCGAAAAATAAGATCTTAGCAATTGTGCATTATTCGGGCGTGATGCAGTGGGTTAATGTGAATGACTTCCAAGAAATAGAAGTTCAGGCACTCTTAATTCAAAATAATTCTGACTTGGCGCTCTTGTTACCATTTACGTCTCTTACTGGCCCCCAAGAATTAGAATATTTTTCATAAAACATATTTTACACTTCAAAAAATATTAATGCTCAACATTACTAGTGTTTTTGATCTCTTCAGGTAAGCAACGTAAGACAGGGAAATAAATTGTTTATACAATTTTCAAGAAAATTGATTATTGATTATTTTCATTGTGAGAGAGGAAATGAAGATTGATTCCATCATATTGGATTTTGTACTCTCATTTTCCTAGTATTAATCATTCAAAGGCTGTTAGGCCGTACGCTAGAAATTAAGAGTAAATTTATAGTTGTTATGCACATTTTTAAAGTAATTTTCTTCCCAGGTTCATTGACCGTTTCGATGCTTTACAGAAAAAAGTAATTATTTTATCTGCGGTGCATTTTCACATTGTTCAAGCAATTTTGTTCCCACGCTCTTTCGTTATAACATTGTATATAATTGTAAACTTGCTCGTATGAAATCAAATCACCGCGACAACTCCACACGTATTGCATTACAAAGTGAAATGAGTAGTGGTATTAGTACGAAGTGGCGATCGGGCTGAAGAGAATGAATAAACGGAATTTCGCTCCAATTACAGAACTGTAACAAAAAGCTCACTGCCAACTTGCAGGACGCGGTCGTAACGAATGCACTTCACAGCCTTGCAATTCTTTCAGGCGTTCTCCAATCCGCCCAGCTAGTGACTGCCTTTGTTACGTAATCCAAGACTTATGAGAAAATGTTAAGTTGAAGCAAGAACAACTACATCGTGTTGTAGTTGGTCTTGGGCAAGAGAATTCTTTCATTAATTGAATAAAATAAAAAAAAATTAAAAAATGCTGTAAAGAAAGATTTTCTAAGAAATGAACTCGGAATGTAGTCACTAATAAAAAATGTTACAAAAGAAATGAAGGGCAATATTTTGTTGATCGAGTAGTTCTAAGCATTAAGACAATAATTTTGGTGGTGTAATAGTTTTAGGTTTTGATTTTCTTCTGACCTGAGAGTCTGACTCATAAAAATATTTATTCAAGAAACATCTTAATCCGTCAACTTTTTTAGGAGATAAAGTGTTTATATTATTATATTTACCATCATTCGAGCCTGTGTTAGTGTATGTGGATATTTTTAAAGCCATGAACTTATTTTCTTTATAGAACGGTATGCTTTGCGGGGGGGGGAGTTACAATACAACCGTATTTTCGAAACCAAAAATATTAATAAGGTCACCTTAGGGTTTCGCTGGTGTGGAATTGTAAGAGAAATGTTTGTTATGAAAATAATAAGTGCAACTTGAATGAAGATGAACAAGATAGTGGAATGAGAGGCACGGAAAATTAAAGAACACCTAGGGAATCCACGAATCCTTCGCATTTTCTTGGGAATGAATAGTCTGCAATGAATAGCAAGTAGTCTGATAGCTACACGGGTCGCTGGAGATATACTTAATTAGCGTGAATAAAAAATAGGATTAATTGCTGTGTTTCACGTCTTTCTGTGCTGAGGGCGAGGGCTCCCGGTGTAGTTTTGTTCCCTTGTTAGATTACGTACTGGGTGGTGGCCACAGAGATCAACTGATATATGAATTGCAAACCCTTTTCCCAAAGGAAAAGGACACGCGAAAGCCTAGAAGAAACGCTCTAAATAGTTGCTTCTGTAAAGACAAGGCAGCGTTTTCTTCTGGATTCGTATCGTGCAACGGCCGCGTCGTCTCTTGTGTTGCAGAGGATCCGCGAGGCATTAGCTTCGCGCAGCTGCAGGAGGAAGCGGAGACGGAGTCCGGGGCACCGCTGGTGGAGGAGGAGATGCTGCCGTCCTCTTCCGACGACGACCTCGCCCTCGTGCTCTACACATCGGGCTCCACCGGCGTGCCCAAAGGTTTGTAGTGCACGCGCTTCGCTTCGCGTCGCCACAGCTTCCTCGCCGAAACGGAGCACGCGAAACTACTGAATGTTCGGAGACCTTTGCAACTCACCTCACGTGTGTCGTAGGGAACGAAATTTTCTTCAAGGCTCTAGTCCCATTCGGCCCTCAGAAATGCTTCTACACCGTAATGAACTTACTATGCGTGCTCTTTATTCCAAAAATAATGATCACGCTCGCAGAGTTTAATTATCGCCAGAGTGGTAGAAATTGTAAGAAAAATCTATAGTAAAAAGTTTTTAAATTTTCAATAAACATTATATATCTGTTAACCAATGGACGGCTATTGTCACTTAACACAAGTCTAAATAGCAGAAACTATCAAATCAACAGGAGATTGTTCAAAGCTCACACTATGCTGCACTTCAATACCGAATACATAACGTGCTCCTGCTGCTCTCCCCTTTCTCGTGCTAACCACGTACGAATACAGATAGAGGCAATTCTGACATACGACTTTAGCGAACTGAGAGTGAACACATCTCTAGCACAAGGGAATGGGATAATACGATGGGCAAGTAATTGACGTCATCATTGTTGGTCAGACAAATGTACTTTCTTCTTAGATACGTTGTTATTGATTCGATCTTTCAGAGATGAATATTTGGGGCTATAGCTGTTGAAAATGTAACTGTTCCCTTGTTTAGGCGCAAACCCGGATTACTGGAATATTACTGGAGCTTAAAAATCTGGCATTTCAATTACATCGGTTAAACGTGGTGATTGGTCGTAAAAACTTACTTGATTGTTCATTATCTCGTTTTAAAACGGTAATAAAATGGGACCATTGAGTTGATTGATACGCGACCTCGCAGAAAACTTTCTAGCAGAGCTGATTGGAAACTATAAAACATTCTAGTCCAAAGCAATGATGATGTGAACTTGATATTTTTGTGTCAACTCGCGGTCATGATCACCATGTGCGTCTATGAAAGCTGGAGGTAAGTAAAGGTCTTCTCGACAGGATCGTACTTGAATGTAGGCAACCCGCCTTGCAAACCTATCTCAAATTAATTTTTTTCGAATACTTATCACTTACGAAAACACGTCAAGCCACAATTTAATAAATAGATAATTTAATAAACCGAAATAAAAAAGTGAATACGAGTAAATAAATACGTTAATAATTGTTAATTTTTTGAGAATTTATTAATCTATTTATTAAAGTATTAAATAAATAAAAAATGATTCTTTTCTAAAATACTAGAACAATTCCTTGAGAAAAATAAAAATATCTTAGTAAAATAATGTTCAAACATTTTTTCGAATTGCATCTATACAGAGAGCCTTGCAACTTCATTTTCTGGGATTTTCAACGTCAAAATCACTACGATTGAGCGTGTTCCCAAAAGTGTATCAGTAAGCATAACAGTAGAGGCAAGTACATATTATTCGTGTGCTATAGTGTAGAGAATAAAACTATTGGAATAAGCTCAACAATCTTATCTGACGTAAAATCCGTGAAAGCCCGCAGTTTTGAATCCCGAAGTATGGATGATGTGCCACACACAAAACTGACAGATTAGACGCTAAGCTGAAACTTGATTAATAAGTCATAATTAAGATCTAGCTTTGCTGTTACATGGGTCATGTATTTTAACTTCGACATGTACTTTACATGAAGCCCTTATAACATTTTCAAAATTTTCGGAAAAGTCTGCAAATGTTTCTTTAATTTTTGTTTGAATAAATGAAAGTGCATTTATAAATATAATACAGTTCATATTTTGATTAAAACCTCTGAAATTTTGAAATTTGCAAACGTTCTAATATTTTTCCAATATGTCATTTATCTCCAGTATTAAAGTCAGCGATTTTTCTCAGTACAATTAATCCCTCATTTTCAATTGATGTCCTGCACTGCTTTTAAAAATTCGAGTAGTTGTTAAGTAATAACACTAAAAGGAGGAAACTATTTGGTCCGCCGCGCTTTCACACTACCTTGAGGTACGAATCAAAACTTCAGAAATCAAAGCTCGTTAGATGGCATTGCTGTGAGGTTAGGGGACGATCCGTGCGGCCTCCCGTCTCTATCGTCTGGGTGCCGCGCTGTCCGCAGGAGTGCGCCTGCCGCAGCGGGCCGTGCTGAACCGCCTGCGCTGGCAGTGGCGCGTCTTCCCCTATACGGACTCGGAGCGCGTGTGCGTCTTCAAGACCGCCCTCACTTTCGTGGACTCGGTGTGCGAGCTGTGGGGCCCGCTGCTGCAAGGACGCGCCGTGCTCGTCGTGCCCAAGGACATCACGCGCGACCCCGCGCGCCTGCTCTCTCTGCTGCGACAACACCAGGTCAGTAGATAACGATGAGTATCCTCCTACTTCTAATATTAACAATAATAGTAATAATTATTATAATAACAATAATAACTATAATAATAAGTTTAATAATAAGTACAACAATATTAAATGTCAAGTTTATGAACTTCTTGTTCCTTATGTAAACATATCTTGGCACAAACAATTGTTAGTGAGGGAATTTGGAGAAAGAATAGTATTAAAAATGTATAGCTAGTTTTAGCTGATAATTGGTAGTAGAAAATTTCATTTCGTGCAATAATATGCCTATATTAAATATCACAATGTAGTTATTTGCTCAAAACTCAAGATTCTATAGTCCAACATTATTAGCCTTAAACGATAAATGCCCTGAGCGTGCAATTGTCTTAAGTTTTTTTAAATATCATGTTATGAAAATGTTAACAAAATCTGATACTGAAATTACAGGTAGAACGGCTGGTACTTGTTCCGTCTCTTTTGCGCGCAATCCTGATGCACCTGGAGAGTGGCGTACCTCTGCCAACCAGTCTCAAGTTGTGGGTATGCAGCGGCGAAGCGTTATCAGTGGAGCTAGGAAAGCAATTCTTTCAGTACTTCACTCCAGGTCAACACAAGCTCTGCAATTTCTACGGCAGTACCGAAATAATGGGAGACGTGACATACCATGTTCTTTCTGAACCTGAAGATTTGGAACTCCACGTTACTGTACCCATTGGTAAGCCAAAAGCTTCAGGTTTCTGTTCTTTTGAAAGTGAAAAGAAAAATGGTGCCGAAAATAATATAAATTTTTATTTGCTGTAATGGATAATTTACAATTTTAGGTCTGCCATTGGACAATACAAATATTTACCTTCTTGACGATCAAGGCCGTCCAGTTCCTGTAGGAGAACAAGGGCAACTCTTTGTAGCAGGGAGCAATTTAGCCCTTGGTTATGTTGCTGGACGAGACGCTGATAGATTTATTGACAATCCTTTTGCTGTAGACCCTGGTAAGTTAACTGAAACTGATACTTCATGTAGTACTTTTACGTACAATTTATTATTTTCGCACATTTGCTTGTTATATACATTCAAATGCATGGTCGCCCTCATTTTCAGATTATTCTCTCCTTTACCGAACTGGTGACTATGCTCGGATTTTGAAAGGAACTATTATTTATGAAGGACGCACGGACTCTCAAGTGAAAATTAGAGGCCATCGCGTTGATCTTAGTGAAGTTGAGAGAATTTTGCTGACGAATAAGGAAATCAATAAAGGAGTTGTGTTGTGTTACAAACCAGGGGAAATTGATCAGGTATGGATCCGTATATTTTCATGATGTAACTACGAGTATTAGTGATTTGGAAACGTCAACGTTTGCGGCCGGAGTTAATAGATTCTTGGCTGTCCTACTAGGCAACTGTATCCAGGACGAGGCGAGTTTCCCGGACAGCCCAAAATCTAATACCGTTCTCTTTAAAATGTTTATTAACAATAATAATAATAATAATAATAATAATAATAATAATAATAATAAATAGTATATTTAACTTTAAAATTAGTTTAATATAATAAATATATATTCAATTGTATATTTTTTTCGTTTCAGGCCCTGTTGGCTTTTGTAACTGTCAATGACAAAGACCTTACAGCAGCTGATATTGAAATGGAGCTAAGAAAAAATCTTACATCATACATGGTTCCTCAGGTATAAACAATACTTTTACTTATCAGAAATTCTCATTAACCCTTCATTACTGGCGCTGAACATACCAAGCTGACCTGCTGCTTTCTCTGACTGTTTTACGGAGTGTGATACTTCAATTTTTGATTTCGAATTTCAACTCTGGCAGACAGGCGAGTGTTATTTCATTGTTGAAAGAGTGTGAGTTTCTGAGGCTTAATGCGAGTAATGTCAACTCAAGAACAGAACATCTCAAGAACATTATGTCTCACTCGTCATAATGTGCTACGATAATAATAATAATAATAATAATAATAATAATAATAATAATAATAATAATGTCTTTATTAATGGCGAGGCTCAGGCCATAGGGCCTGCTCTTCCGCCTAACCACTGAATTTACATACATTTAGAGTAGTAACATTTTAAGAGGGGAGGACAAGCTGTACATTTACGTCTGGGAGAACAAACCTAGGGACCATCCCGGCACACGCCTTTAACGATTGAGTAAACCCAGAAAAACCTCAATCAGGATGTCGGCTTAGGGCCGAACATTCATAACGAACGCATTCGCAACGATATTGCGCAACATATTTTACACTTCTTTTTTAAAGTATTTTTATTTATTTTAATTTTCGTAGACGTCGAACTTTTACTGGTGTCCTTTGGTGGTCTAATTTGTAGCTAATGTTAATTTGCTGTTAGGTGAAAGAAGGCAATCGTATATTGCATCTATTTTCCATTCAGGGGAGACGTCGGTAATATGAAATGTCTTTTTTATCGGCACAGTAAATGTGTGGACCTGACGGATGCTCAGGTGTCGGATGTCTAGGAACAGAATATTCGCCCAAGTTTCTAGCGTTATCTACACGCCTGTATTGACTGTTGCGAGTGCAGTAGAAATTGTAATCTTGGTCGCGGGCGGAGTTTACTATCTCCTCCACTACAGGGCAGGAATGAACGAAACTGATCCAAGATGGGTGTATTCAAACGTGGTCTGAAGTCGTCGACCACGTTTCCTAATAATTAATAGTAAAGGCTCATAAATCACTAAATCATACTGAAGTACATGTATGCACAAACAAAAATTCATCACTGAATATTGAGACAAGCGCATTATTAGTTGAAAGAAGGTAATACGAAATATAACAACCACGAGAAATAATTCGAATTCAATGGCAATATTGTGGAAGCTGTGAGAAAGACGATAAAGCAATGCTTATATTATATATCTGGATGAAAATGCGTACTAAAATGCAACGCCTACCTCGATGAATATTGACTTCTTGATTGATCCTTCCGAATCGCCACTCGAGGGTGATTGACTCGACACGGCGCGTCTGACGCGTCTGTGACGAGTCGCGTGTTCCCGCGGAAATGAGCGTTTCTTAGACTTTGATTTCCGCCGATAACTAAATAAGTAAGCAACCCCATTAAGTTTCTGCCCAGAAACTCATTCAGCTTCTATCTCAAGAACTGAACCACAATTTGTTCTTTCCCAGAGAGTTCATTTTCATGCGGGAATTAATTATTATAAAAGGCCTACGGCAGCGAAAATTCTGCTGAACAAAACCATAGAGAACGGTTTTCTGGAAAACTGTACACGAATAATAAAAAATAGAGATAGTAGTGTTAATGTGATTACATATAAAATACTCTTATAACACAGCAAATATTTTTTGTAAGTATTCATAAATACTGCAATAACTTGGTATATTATATACGGGTACATAGTTCAACATTCTTTACATTAAAAAAAAACCTACCATAAAACCACGTGAATCGCATATATTTAATGGGTGTGCCTTCTTTCTTGGAGCCTTATAGTTGCATGAAATGAGCTGTGTTTCTAAACCTTACTGACACACTCTGAGTATGATAACGAAATCGGTATGCGTGATATGAAAATAGTTAACAAAAACAAATATTTTCATTTCTCAGTCAAAATCGAAACTTTCATTTTATATGTTTACGGTTGGAGGATCAAAAGCTCCATTGGTCATTTTGTATCATTTTCACTTTCTCACGCATGCATAATGGGCTGAATGATTGGCGTGAACGCTATAGTAAAAAGTAAAAAAAAGTTAATTACGGACATTTTTTAATTTTTTTTCAATTTTGAACGCCATGAACATTTTTTCAAACAACTTTCCCGTGTTGAATTATTTTTAATTTTTAAATATAACATAAATATATTTCAAACACTGATTTATTCTAATTTTTCTAATTTTTATTGTAAATTTCAAAACAGTTAATTAAGTTCACAAAAGTACATAAATAAAACCCATAACTGTTCATTGTAGATAATGTTATTTAGTTCTGGTGATATTTTTTCTTGTAGGTGGTGATTCTTGAGACTATCCCACTGCTAGTGAACGGAAAAACTGATCGTCAGTATCTTCTAAAATACTATGAAGAATCCCTGAAGTGTGGTAAGTAAATCACTTTGTTACTTCTTTCCACGAACGTTATGATTGAAAAAGAAAATTTTAATATACTTCTCTTGCTTGAAGCTTGAAGAAACGAGAAAAAGAGTATGTAAATGTGGATGAAGTAGACGTTTCATCTGAAGTATCTCTCAAGATGCATATTTCAATTTTAGCAGACCAAAAATCACAAAATAAAACGAAATATTGGGTTCTATAAAAATTCTTACGGTTTTGCATCATTTTCTGTTAATCCAGTACTGTAATAAAGCGAAAAGTTATTTTCTATTTCAAATTTTTGTAATAGTGAGGGTGTAAAAATAAATCATTACATCACTTATATTAAGTAATATTTTAATTTATTAATTATTTCTGTCATTCATACTTAGCTTATAACGCGCACTTCTTAACGTATAGAAAATTAATTTAAAATGTTGGTTTGATTATTCTAGATCAAAATATTTTAAAAGCGAATTTGGACTATTCTGGAATTCCGGAGAAGAAAATGGATGCTGCGACTGTTTTGTTTGAGACGGTTGCTTCTGTACTTGGATCTGCTGTTCGTTCCAAAATTCAACGTGAGTCCAACTTCTATGAACTGGGTGGAAACTCCTTGAACTCAATCAGCACAGTAACACAATTGAGAAGACAAGGATTTGTTATAGGTGAGTCCTGTTTTTAATTCAGTGCCTTGGAATTAAATAATAAGCACACGCCTTAGGTGGCAGCTCTCGGCTAACATTGGATAACTTCAGGATTTAAAATCTTCACCATCTATAGGGCTTAAAATAATTTTAAAGTAGTATAAATATTGACAAATAAGCCTTTGTTGTTTGCGCAACCAAGTGCAATCATATAACTTACAAGCCTAACAAGTCTAACCCTTTACACAATTCATGTTTTATGGAATAAAAACTCAAGCAACTTTTAGGCAGAGATGCTACAAAACGGGTCGGACTTTCTCGCTTTCTCTAACTACTTCTACAGACGGATTAGCCTTTCTCATACGTAAAGTGTATTGCACTGCTAATGCTGTGAATATTTCAACTATCTATTGCAAAATTCTCTTAACTAAACGGCTCGAAACACAACAAATAAACACACAATTTTTCGAAACCAAGTTAATCGTTTGTAATTTCTGAAAAAATCAGAGGTTGTACTTAAAATGGGCACTACCATGATTATAACTATTTAAGACATTAACAAAAAAATTAAAGAAAAAATGAAAGACACTTTTGAAAAAATATTGAAAAAGATAAGACGCATTTAATGTGAAGTACCAGACACCAAAAAATGAAAAGATCAAATTCGAATTCGCAGGAGTCGAGTTCGTCTAGATCGATATGGAATATTTACTTCTGGTAAATTTGTGTACGGTTAGTGTTGTTTACAACTCACTGACAAATGAAGCCGGACGGGCGTTTTGAAAAACACCAACTTTTCAATGCGGAACCCACAAATGTATAAAATTCTTGATATAACTGACATGGTAATAAAAAACATCTTAGATGAAAATAAAACACATTTTTTAATGTTTTATTTTCCATTTAATGTTTTTAATGTTTATATAATATATGGATAATAACATATTTAAATTAAATTATCTTGTTTCGTTTCTGTATTTTTTTTCTAACAGAAACGCTTCTAACAACTTGGGTCAACTCTTACACAAAGAATACAGTGTTTCTTCTCTTTTTCAGGAATTACCGAATTTATTTCGTCCAAAACTCTCTACGAAGTCTTGGAACATATGCACCCAGAAGGAGAAATTGAATTAAGATGTACACCCACTGCGGATGCAAACAAAAAGAAATATTACGCTGAATATTTGAGTGAAGAACATAAGAAGGATGTGTATAGGTAATTAAGCCTTGAATATAGAGAATGAAACATTTTTCCCGTATTGCATATTTTTAAGTGTGCACGTTTTAGTGAAGTATAGCATTTCGATTTTTTCTCTTTATTAGAGTTAAAGTCAAAGAGATATTCTTAATATCTACGCATTCTTTTGGATCATAATACATTTTACATCATATTTTATTTGGTAAATTTTAAATATGTTTCAGTATCATATCAGGCAGCTTCTATGAAAAAGCGGATTTGGAGCAGTGGCTAATGCCAGATATTCAGCGAACTGACTACGTGGAATTGCTAGATAAACTGTGGATACCTCTCGTTGAGAAGGAACTAAGGTATTAAAAATAAATTTATAAAATTTTTATAACAACAATTATAAAAACACAGTAAATTATTTTTAACATTGTATTTTTTATTTCATTGTTCTCTAGTTTTGCTGTGAAATCGGAAAATGGTGATATTGTTGGAGTAGCATTCAATTTTGATGCGTATGATGAACCTCCTGTGGAAATTGATAGCAAACTGAATATTATCTTCGATTTCTTGGAATACCTCGAAGGCCCCGTGAGGTAATTTTTATATAACAATAAGTGTGTATATATATATATATATATATATATATATATATATATATATATATATATATATATAAAGTTCAAAATATGGCTATTTCCCTAATAGTTCATTCACACATTAGCAAGACCGTTTGTATAAAGCTGTATGAATGGTACAATGAATGGCACATTTCGGACTTCATCCGACTATTGTTAGTATTAGCGTGAGAGCTCTGGCTAAAGAAATGGGACTGAGTGTGAGACGTCTTGTGTTCCCGAGAAGTATTGAGGCATATAAATTCATTGGAAATAAGGCATTGCAGTCTCAAGACTATTTTTTAATAATGCGATGGCAGAAAACGTCTGCATCCGGAAGGCAAAAAGCTTCAATTGAGCTGAATAGTGAGTTTAAGATAAAGGTATTGTGCAAATAGAAATTTACGATTGACACAGAGGAACTCGAAACTACACATATTGTCTTTCGCTAGCCTTAGAAGCTCCCCACGAGCAGTGTGATTCGTGTTTATGACATCCACACTCCATGTCACCAAAACGTACTTTACCTACCGTAGCCACCTCGCGTTGGCGCATGTGGCTCTTCATCGCGCCAAACTTCGTTTCGAAGCTTTATTCAGCCTTTCTTATAACGTGAACAGTAATCGAGTAATTCGTATATTAATCATATTCTAACATTAGCCGCAACATATTTATTACAAATGGCATGATTGTATTTAAAGATATTATATAGGATGTCCGAGGCGGAAAAGTCGAAAATTCGAAAATAAGCTCTTAAAACAATTTTAAGCATATTTTGTCCTGTAAACTACTTCGATATTCTGAATGGCTGAGCTGAATGGCATGTTTCTGGAGTGCTTCTATTCTCCTACAACTCAAAAATTGGTTTAAACAATTCTTTCTATGCAAAAATTTGAGTGCTTATTGCAGCCCAGCCATTCAGAATATTCAAGGATTGTATTAGACAAAATTATCGTAAGAGCTTATTTTCCAATTTTCGATGTTGTCTTCTTGACTGTCCGAATGACTGTCCGCGTGAAACTGTCGTTGGCCGAGAGGCCAACTTCTTCAGAGTCAAAAATGTCGCCTGTCATGTCGCAGGCTTCCTGCAGGATGGAAGGAGGCCTGTCACATGGCAGGCGAGACGTCGGCTTCTCCGCCAACGACGCGGCGTCACCTGGACAGCCAAGTGATCATGAACTAGAGCCGCGGAAGCTTACGTGTACAATTTTATGTTTTCCCCCAGGACACTGTATCTATGCTTCCCTAGCTATCAAAATATTTTGATTGCTATTTTTCTCTCCTTTATTAAAAATTAAGTGTAGAGTATATTAAACATATTTCTAAATGGTGCTGTTTTGAATAATTTGTCTAAAAGAACATCACAATAAATTTTATTATTTATTATTTGATTTAGGGAAGAGCAATTGCCTCATGGAAAAGGACATATCCTACATAGCTTTATGATGGGAACTCATGAAAATCTCAGTTATCAAGAGAATATTGCAGTCATGCAGTTTATGGAAGAAGAAGTTTTGAATGTTGCGAAAGAGAAGAATTTTACAGGAATATTTACCACAAATACCAGTCCTTTGACGCAGGTAATATTCTTTATTTTTGAAGAAAATAACATAATAGTAAGATCAATCAAAAATATTTATCCACAACAGAAAATCAGTTTAGGAAAGATTAAAAGTGTATAATTTTTATTTGAATAGATATAATCTTATTCATTGTGTCGTTACAAATTGAAATTTTTATAAATTTTCATTGATTGGGATAATATTGAACATGATACTTCCATTTTCCATAAAATTAATTTTCCATTTTGCGTTTATTATACAAAACCAATATTATTGCAAATGCTTTTCACATTAATGTAACATTTTTTATTTTTCATACATAACACAAGTTTTAACATTGACAATCCTTGTTTACAGCAATTGGGCATTGACGTTTATGAATATAAAGTCCTAAACAACTACCAAGTGAACAAATATGTTGCTCCTGATGGAACAAAACCATTTGGAGCTGCACCTGATTGGCAAACAGCTACATGCTGCTGGAAAGTAGTCTGAACTTCTCAAAGTGACTGAAATTTTTGAATAATTAATTCACTAAACTTCACATATTTGTCAAGACTCTGTCTTGCATGCTGGTGCTGGAACTTGGTTCAAATACCAAGTGTTAATTCACTAAATTCTGTTCTTTGGGGCAGTAGAAGTACCTGATAATGTCTTGGACATGTGAATTGGAGGCTTCTCGAGGTTTTCTTTGCTAAGTAATGTAAATATATGAAGTTCACCAAATGAAGGAAACATTGTACAAATAGTCACGGATAGCTTGGAAACCTTGTTAAACCTTATGTTGCAGCTTAATATATGATTCATTGTAAACTAAGTTTTGATATGGTTATTATATTATTCACGTTTTCAGTATTCAGATGTGACTGACATGCACAGTATTTTATAGGTTTTATCCATAAGTTTAGAGCTTTATTTTATAAGGTCAATACTACAATGATAAGACATAAATTTCAAAACTGCAAATCATTTGTGTATTATATTTTAAAATGTTAAAATGAAAATACATTTCACTTCCCAACATTGCGTTTATTTGTAACTTAAATTAAAAACAATTTATAGAAGAATAAACATTATTCTGTAATAAAATTTGTTTCTTATCTGCTCTTATCCTAGAGTTGTGGTTTCCAAAGAGGCACAAGAAGGGATTAAGAGACATTTTCTCCTGTGAACTTGAAACCGCCCAAATCGGCGGAAAAATAAGTTTGTCAGCAATAACGAACAATAAACAATCATTTCCCCTTCTGACAAAGTCTCCTATCAGCTGCGTTCCCGCTCCGCTTCTCAATATGAAACAAACCAAATGGACTAACACTGTGGCATTGCACGAATATATGGGCCCAATTTTGTTCTTTATTTTTATACTGTTAACAGCCAAATCATATTAAACATGTTTGACATGGGCATCATGATGAGTTAAGTATCACAAGGCGTTAGTCAACTACTAAAAGTACAATGAGAGTTATAATAAATTATAGAGTGCTACGTGTATTATTGAAACGATTATCTGTGAGGATGTGAATATGGACAGGCAATAAGAAAGAGCATTGAGATCGGTGTGAGAGAATGAAGTGTGGGGACAGGCATTTTATTTATTTAGTCAAAAAACAGTAAACACTGTATGTGACATATGAGGGGAGAAGATTAATTGCACACGTTGTTTTGAGTTCCAGAACCTCAGACAGTAGTTGCAGGAAATGTCTGGAATTTTATGTACGTACCCCTATGCGTATTGTAGTATAGTTAGGTATTAGTTAACACAAAAATTCGTAGTATTAACTGTATACTTAGTACTTAAAATACTTAAGACCCGTATGATTAAAATGTTCAGAAAATCAAATAATTTAATTTTACATAGATTTCGAGATACTGCTAGTTTCTGATTACTCGCGCTACGGAGTGGAGACACAGAGAACCAAACTTCGCAAAAGGTATCATTTTGTTGATTATGGCCAAATATTTTATGCTTGAGAACAGCTTTTGGGTGGTCTCGAACAGCATTTTAAAGCCTAGAGACTCGTCTATCAATTTGTGCGCGATAGAAACAAAATGAAATATATTGCGGGTTGTACGGGCACCTCGTACTGATATTTAGGGCGATATCTACAAAATTGTACATTTTCCGCCTTTAATCTGTTTCTATATATACGTGAGGGGTATTTTCCTACCCGTATTTACTGTTTTGTGTTGTTGGCGTCTTAGAACTCGTACAAAAGTCATCTCCCCTTAGTTTGGTCCTATTTTTGAGTTACTTAAGCTGGAATGTACACAGTGACCAAAAGCCATTTACTGTTCATCATTCCGAGGAATGCAAATATGGCACGTGTGTTCTTACACTCATCTTACATTCACTTGCTTTCAGTTGCGTGTCACATTTTCTCTGCTATCCCTCTGGTTTACGAAGGAAATACGTGTCCTGAGAGTTGCAATTTGTTCAGGTTTAATCGCATGCCGTGTGACCTCTTTCAGACGATCAGGAGGTAACCCACGCCCGATCAATTGGTCGGGATGAATCGATCTTCAGGATGAAGTGGATAGGCAGTGGCACCACGCCGCATCCCCATTCCGACATATACATACACACACCACCGGTTTAACCTTAGCACTCCAGAAACGTGTCCGATTGTTGAACTCCTTAGCGGACAGGGTGAAGGGGCCGCTTACCTCCTCCGTTAGCACACAACTTCACATCCATCCCATGGTTACCATCTAACATTCTAGTCAAATATCTCGGTAGTTCTTTGATCGCCGCTTCACCTGGAAATCTTTTGTCCATCGTAGACTTGCACTCGCCACACAAAGAAAATACCATCTCTTCCCAATTTTACGTCTTCTCCCCTCCAAATCCATTCCTTCTTCATATTTCTATAATGCTGTGCTCAAACCCATGGTCACGTATCCAAGACCAATCTGGGGTTCACCAGCCACATCTCACATCCAAAGACATCAGAACTTCCAAAATCGTTATCAACCATTACTATAATCCACCATTAACATAGCACCCTGGTTCAAACCCAATGAACTTCTTCAGGAACTTGAGATAACATCACTACTCTCATCAAACCATACTTAAATTTCATCAAAAATCTTAATTCCACAAGCTCTTCCCTTCCAATCAGGGAAACTCTCAGAAAAATACACATCCACAAGGAACTACCTACCTGTATCTGACCGACTGTAACTCTCACAAATCTTGTGTTTCAAAATTATTCTCATACAGTTCAGATTTTCTAAAAGGAACATGTATTCTAAAACTCTGTGTTAGCTAAATTCCAACCCTTTGTAAAAAAGTAATTTAAAAAATTATGTTTTTTCAAACTTGGCTCAATTTGTTTTTGTTTGTTTGTTTCTGTCAGTCTCGAATAGAGTAAAAAATGTTTATAAAAACAGAATTTTTCAAAAATTGCAAAACGTGAATAGTATTCTCCACCTACGTCACATACAGTTTTTACTGCTTTTTGATTGAATAAATCTAATTCTAAATGAACGTTAAAAATACAATATTGACGAAAGTTATTTTTCCTGAATAAAATTTGATTTTAATATTATATCAAAGTCAATCACAATAAGGTCATATACACTGGTATTTGTGAAAATTACAAAACCCACTAGTAATTATTAATTGTATTCATAAGAACTGATTAAATGTTCATAAAGATGGCGTGCATGTTGGCCTAGCAACACCATCCTCTGTGTGACACGTCAGGTCAGTGTTAGTCACTGAGTCGGTGTAGAGCCGTCAAACTGCGTGGAAATGTGTACGTGTCGGTATGCCTCGTCGATGCCAAAGGGTACAATATCAGCTTCGGAGATATTTTAAACGGAACAGAATGATCGGTCTCCGGTAAGTAGGTTCGTGGAAGTGGGTTCCCGCATGGCGAGATGACCGCCATCTTGTCCGTATGGCTGTAACCGACAGAACGTTGTCGTCCACAGTGATGGCTCAACATTGGAGCACTTCAACAGGTGTGGTAATGTTTGTGTCGACGTTTATACGCCGTCTGCTGAGGGCTGGACTGTGACAAGCAAACCAGTGGGTTGGATGCCTTTGCCCACAAAACACCAACGTCTCAGACAGTAATTGACGCGTGAACGTGTTCACTGGTATGCTGAGTGTCAATATGTTGCGTTTTCGGACTAGTCGCGCTTCAATTTGTGCTACAGCAATGGCCGTGGACGTGTTCGACGTTACCGTGGTGCTCGAAATCTACCAGCCTGCATTGTTCCGTGCCATACCGGACAAATGCCAAGTGTGATTGTGTGGGGCGCCATTGGCTATAATGTGCGATCTCGCATCATACATATTGGGAGCAATCTGAACAGCACCCGCTACATCAGGAACTGCCCTCCTGCAAGCAGCTCTACGAGCCATATTTCAGCAGGACAATGCCCGACCGCATGTGGCGAGTAATGTCCAAGCTTTTTGCGAAGAACGACGGGTAGCAATGGTTCCCTGGTCTGCACGTTTGCCTGACATGTGTCAAATTGTTCGTTCTGATCCTCTTCAGTCCACTGTCGAGCTTCATGGTCACGTATAGAAACCGCGTGGCAGTGTTTCCCAGCAGCATATCCAGGCTCTCTTTGAAGACACGCCACTACGTCTACAAACTGTGATGGCAACGCGTGGAGGCTTTACAGCGTACTAAATACTCAAGGTCAAAATGCAGGTACAGTTTTATAATTATAATCATTTGTATATTATGATATTCCTAATATGTAGAACAAATTCCACTGTAATAGTACGTCTCCTTCTTGGCGTTGCAATTTTCACAAACACCCGTGTTTGTGTGTGTGTGTGTGTGTGTGTATATATATATATATATATATATATATATATATATATATATATATATCTTTTTCTTTTCTTACACGTAGTAAGAGAAAAAATATACTGATAATGCTGCGGCAACAAATGGCGCTTTTTAAACAGAAAATTCTGGGCCCTGATACCTATAAAAGTGAATAAAGTATGTTTTAAAATATGAACACTCAATTTCTTCTTCACTTCTCATTATGTAGCCGTCACGCACAATACAAGGCACAGGGCAGATATCCAAAGCCTACGAACTGACCAAAGTGTCCGTTCTATCTTGTCGGACCGTCTTATCCAAGTGCGCGTAAAATGCCGTCTGAGCCATCCGTGACGCAGTCCGTCTTTGACGAGCTGTTTTAGTGCTCGCTTAGTTTTACACCTTATAATTTATTTTAGTTAAAGGAAAAACGCCGAAAAAATTTACAGTAGCAGCGGTTCCTTCCCAAGTCATTGGCTCTCGTTTCAAATTATTTAACACACACAAACGAACTTCAAAATCATATAAAATTTAATGTTTAAGCATTTCAAGTATCGGTTTAAAAATGAAAAAATTCATAGAAGTCAAAATAATAGAATTTTTAAAAAGACAAGCTGCAATAGAGAACCGGGCAATAGGTAATGTATTGCTTCTTTCAGATGCGATAATGTATACATTGCAGATAGATGTAGATGCATTGGTCTCGCAAGGGAATCCAAAAGGTCTAGAGAAAGGCTATTTTTATCCGAGACTATTTTTTAGAGAAGAAGCTAGGTGGTAGAGTTCTGCATTTTGTGAAAAATAGCCGACCGACGCTCGGGGTTCTACCTGTCGAGCTCATAGAAGAAGGCTAGGAAGGCACTTGCTACGCCCGCTATTACTGTGAAACTTACTTCGCCGATAAATGATAAGTTATAAAACTAAGCTAGCACTGGGAACCAAAGACGGCACAATAAAAACGTGCAAATATAATAACATAAAAATGCCGGTGGTCTGTCGAAGCCTCGAAGAGGAAGCACAAAAACGTCACAGTAAGTAAAAACAAAGTAGACGTAGGAAACGCATACATTACGCAAAAATCGTAGAATAAAACGAAATGTTTATACATACCGTACACTCTTTAAGCATGACTATTATTTCAAATTATCGTATTTACACTTGTGAAAAATTCAAATATTTCGCGGATTTACAAGACGCCAAGGATCTACAAGGAGAAGACTTATCTGTAGAGGTATATCAAAAGTGTCAGCCGCTAACCGGACACATTTACTTCAGCGACATCGCGCGGTGAAGA